ATATTGAGCACGTTATCTCTGTTTCTCACTATCAAACAGGGAGAATAGTACTTGGGATATATAGGATTGTTATGAAGATTAAATAGCACTTTTGGGAAGATTATAAGGTACTTCAGTCGGCACTGCTATATAATAAGCACTAGTATGTTAGCTATTGTCATTATTACTATTACTGTATAATCATTATATACATTTAATTCGGTTCTCTTTTTAAACTTGAAATTAGTAGATTTATTGACAAGAGATGGCATCTTAGAATAGTGAGATTATGGATCAGGTGAGAGATTATGAGGATCTGGGATAGTGTGGTAGTTGTAAACGTTCAGAAGAGGTAAGTGGGAGATCGCAAAATGAATTGAGTTGATGATGAGTTGAATATAGTGAAATAAGAAAGAGGAAGATTCTAAGACAATACTCAGATCTTAAACCTGAATGAATAGGAAGTGCAATTGGCTTAGGAAGGAATGTTACTTGCTATATTTAAAGTACTTAGAACAGTGCCTTACATATAGAAAGCATTATCTATGTTAACAGTAGAATGGTTTAAGCTGGTTATATGCTTAAGGTTAATATTAGGTAATTTAATAAAGTATCAAAATATGAATAAATCTCACATATAATTTATTAGTAGAGAATTCACATGTTCAAGAAAAATAATGTATTTTAAATGTTTTTCAGTATAAATCAGCGAGGAAGAGCTCAAGTGGCAATGAAAATGATGAGGTGAGGAAAAGAGGGTAATATACTTATTTGAAATGTTTACTTTTCATATTTAGTTGGCTCAATTAGAGTTTAATGTAATCCATCTTTCAGTGTCTTTCTTATTAGTTTAATGCATGGATTTTCTCCAATACTAAAATCTTCAGAGCATCATTATATAATTATCAGTTTAATTGTGTAATGTCTGTATGTCCCTTAGAAAACAGTTTCTAATAGTTTTGAATTTTATTATCATTTTGTTATCATTTGTCTTGAACCCTATAATCCATGAATTTTTATTTTGTTACCTGTTCCCATCTTTTATCTTTCTAAATCAGCATTGTAGTGAATTGAAATTTTTTTAGGAACTCTTTCTACAAACTGTGTTCACTATTTAGAATTTTAAGTTGGATATTTCAGTTTATACATTGCCACAAAATTTTCTAATGCAGCAGCCTAACAATGTTGAAATATTACATTTTTATTACCATAAATATCTAAGTTTTGTGTAGTTTTGGGTTGGAGAAATTGGTAGTTATTTTGATGTTGGTTACTTGGCAGGGCTTCTGAAAACACCTTTATTTTAGCAAATAAAATCACACAGGGCAGCTAGGCATGATGGCAGCAACTGTAATCCCAGTGACTCAGGAGGCTGGGGCAGGAGAATCACAACTTCAAATCCAGCCTCAGCAATTAGCGAGGGCCTTAAGCAACTTAGTGAGACTCTGTGTCAAAAACAACAACATCATACACACACACACACACACACACACACACACACACACACACAGCAAAATAATAGAGCTAGACGATTTATTTTTTTCTAGACCAAATACCAATGTCTCTCCATGTCCTTTCCAGTAGAATTTACTGAGATGAATAAAAGATAGTAATGCCAAAAGCTATATATCTGCCCCCTTTCTTTCCATTACAGTAGTTCTGCAAGATCACAGTGTGTCCCTTAAATATTATTGTTCCCCAGATCGTAGTCCACTATATGGTCTCTAGAGTACTTTTATCAGCTCTCAAAGTTTCTCAGGTTTGTCTCTATAGTTTCCACTTCTCCCATGAGCCTCCTGCCCTTGTAATCTTATTTATTTATTTATTTATTTATTTAGTGGTACTGGGGAGTGAACCTAGGGACACATTATCACCAAGCTACATGGTACCCAGCCCTTTTTATTATTCAATTTTTAAAAAAATTTGAGACAGGGTCTTGTTAAGTTGTTGAGGCTGCCCTTGAACTTGCAATTCTCCTGCCTCAGCCTCCTGAATTGCTGTGATTATGTTACAGGGGTGGGGCCTTCCAGAAAACGGAGGCAGCATGAAAGACTCCCACTTCATACCCCAGTTCTTTTCATCAAGTCAGAAAGATTTCAGACATGTCACTCAGAGTAGCAGAAATTAGTTTATTAAAAGGGATGGGAAAGGTGACACTCTGAAGGGAGAGAGTAGGTCCTCTTGGAGAGGAACAGCATGGCTCTCCTGCACTCTAGTTTTATTGGGGATCCTGAGAAGTTTCCAGAGAATTCCACCAAGATCCACTTCTTGATTTTTGACTGACAACAGAGTGACATCAGACTTTCAAGTCTCCACTGCCATGACAACTCTAGGTCACTTTGGCCTGGACTGACTGGTTCTAATTAAGATTCTTAAACATAAATTCTTAGAGATTTTATGGTAAGGAAGAATTATCCTTATCTCCCTGAATTCTGGGATCCGGTCTGTGTAAGAATTACAAAAGTCTCCCTCTTCAGGGTAACTTACACTCTGGCCTACATTTCTCCTGCAGATAACAGGTTGTTTTCTGAAGAATGTAGCATATCCTATGGGCTTAAGCCAGGCAGTACTGCAGGTAAATTGCTTCTTGGAAAAGAAAGCATGTTTATAGAATTATTCCCTTAACCTAGTGTTCCCACCATTCATGTCTGTCTGTCTCCTATCAATTACAGGTATGTGCCACATGCCCATAGTTCAGGTCCTTATAATCTTATATCCATCATACTTAGGACTCAGCATGGTTTTATTTTTATTTTTGTTTTTCATCTTTGCTTCATAGCACAGTTTTTCAGTGGTGCATTTTTCAACCTTGGCTACACATCGAAATCACCTGGTGAGCGTTAAAGAATACCTATGCCTGGGTCTCACCCCAAGACACTTGGATTTAATTGACCCGTGGTACAATGTGGAGTAGCCTGGACAATGATGTGTTTAAAGTTTCCCATGTGAGTTTAATGGGTAGCTAAGGTTGAGATCTACTGAGTGAGTGGAATCCACTATTTACCCAGCAGTTAAAGCAGAAATTAAAAGACTATGGCCCAGGGCCTAATGTGGCCCTTCATTTTCCTATGACTGCTTTTGCATTATAATTGCAGATTTGAACCATTGCTATAGGCATCATATGGTCCACAGAACTTAAAATATTTACTCTCTAATCTTTTACAGAAAACATTTTCTGGACCCTGAGCTAGAGGTTGAGTTTAGCCACTCTTCCTGTCTCCTCATACCCATTTTTATCCTATCTGCCTTACTATTTGTCACCAAGACCTACTGTTTTGTTCATTTATTTGTTTTTTGGAACTGAAATATTTTGTATACATTTTCTCCACCTTCCTTTTCACTGTTGCTGCCCTGGCACAGCCCTCATCACTTCTTAAGAAAGCTACTGCAGTAGCTTCCTTACTCTTCTTCCATTCTCCAGTCTATTTTCCTCACTGCAACCAGAATGATTGTTTCAAAGACCACAAATACAAGTGGGCCATTCCCTTGCTAAGAAATATTCAACTTTGCCAGGGCAGTGGTGCATGCCTGTAATCCTAGCGGCTCAGGAGGCTAAGGCAGGAGGATTGCAAGTTCAAAGCTAGCCTCAGCAACTTAGTGAGGCCCTAAGCAATTCAGTGACACTCTGTCTCTAAATGAAATACTAAAATGGGATGGGGATGTGACTCAGTGGTTAAGCCTTCTTTCATCCCTGCTCTTCCCCAAAGTCCTTTTATCTGTGCCTCATAATATCCCATGCATAGAGTTAAGCATGTTCTATTATCTGCACACATAAATCTATTTTCCTTCTACATTGAGAGATTCTTCAAAGATAATATTTTACTAAACCTGTAACTGGGTGCACTGGTGCATGCCTGTAATCCCAGAGGCTCTGGAGGCTGAGGCAGGAGGACCATAGGTTCAAGGTCAGCCTCAGCAACGTACCAAGACCCACAGCAAATTAGTAAGATCCTGTCTCAAAATTAAAAAATAAAAATAAAAAGGGCTGGGGATGTGGTTTATTGGTAAAGTGGCCCTGTTCAGTCCTCAGTACCAAAAGGAAAAAAAAAATCAATACTCCCAGTGTCTTCCAGTGTCTGACAGTAGCTAATCATAATCATTTGTTGAATGAGTAAATGTTCAATGTGTTGTGCACATTACAGGTTGAATGTCAAGATTTTGTATGTGATCGGCAGTAGAATAGTTATTCAAAAATTATGGACCATTTCATGATTTATTCAATTAAGTATTTCTAGGAATATATTGATACACATAATTTGGTGTGATGGAACTTTTGCATGTCATCATTTACATGTCTCAAATTGTAACATATCATTACTCTTGTGTGTAGATAGTACTTCTCAAACTTTAAAATAATTAATGAATTACTTGGGAGTTTTATGTAGATTCTGATTTGGTATTGGATGGGGCCTCAGATTCTGCATTTCCAACAAACTCTCAGAGAATGCCTATGCTGTTGGTTCACAGAACACATTTTGAGTTGCAAGATGTTAGATGGTATAATCTAGACTCTTCCTTTAGCAGTTGAGCAAAACAATTTTCAGGTTTCCTTTTATATGTTTAAATCATTGTTTTATATTTTAATTTCATCTTTCATCTTTTTATTTTTATATTTTAGCAAGACAGTGATAATGCTAATATGTCACCACAATCTCCAGTATCATCTGAGGTACAAGTTCTGTTTTTATATGTTTTAAATGTTTGTATGTGTTTTTTATATGTTTTCTGTGTTTTACATGGGGTTCTTCCTTGCCTCTTTCTCTTTAATTTCATCTTTTTCTTCTTTTTTCATGAAGTAAAGTATTCACCTCTATTTTAAAATCTATGATAGGTCAGTATGTACAAATTTCTAGTCTATAATATATTTTAAAAATAAATATTCATGGTAAATATCACTTATCTGTGATTTTCTGTGGAAAATATCTGTAGATCATAGAAAATAAGGCACTTCTATGAAATGTGTGCTTTCTGATTCATCCATATTTTAATAACTTTAAAATTTTACTTTGAAAAAGGCACTACAGCATTGTGCAATGGCCATTGGTTTTCTTTGTAATCAATTGGTCTGAAAGCAATGCAAGAGAAACTTCCTTTTTCCACGAGAAACATCCCTGAGGTGGGTTGTTCCTATCGACAAAAGGTTACACATTTCCTTAAGGGGCAGGGGATCCCAAGGAGAGCCCATCTATGAAAACCACAGTTTGTAAAATCTCAACTAAATATTCTGGAGGTTTGAATGATCGATTCTTCTAAATTAGTTTAACTTCATGCTTTACCACAGATTTAAATTTAAAACATTCTAAACAGTATCTCTTCTATTCAGATTACCTTAGTGTTCTAAAGTGTATTGGCAGTATTAAATAGAAAAATATGCATTCATTTGGTGAGTTCAGATATTATCTAAATGTTTGGATGGTCTGAATTAACTGAATAAGTATTTCATTCTATATACGTGGCATTACTGTTGTAGAGAGCCAGGATTCTCTATCTATTGTTTTGGGTGATTTGCATTACAAAACTTTTATATAGACTTGCTGGGCATGAGTTTTATAAACACAATTCTAAATTATTTGTATGGAAGGTAAAATGGTTTATGTGTGTTTAGAAAATACTTTAAATTAGGATATTCTAGAATTAATCTTGGTCACATACTTTTGTAAATCTTTTCATTTATAAGGAGTAAGTGATTAGTCCTTGTTGCCTAGCTGCTTTATGATTTTAAGGTCGGTGCTCACAGGGAAGACTATTAGTGCCAATTTTCTCAGATAAGTTATATTGCTTTTATAATATATTTTTGCTGCACTTAGATAAGTGAATTTTTTGCAAGGTATTCATAACAATTTAACCAAAAAATGAAGACAAACAGTAAGTATGGATGGATAGAGTGATAAGCATGTGTTTTTGTAGATCAACTAACATTCAACATGAATTGCATATCATGTTAATTGACAGAAGATTCAAATAATCTACAGAATTCCAATTGTTTCAATTTTATGTGAAAAGAAAATGGCAGGCTAGGCCCAGTGGCAAATACCTGTAATCCCAGTGATTCAAGAAGCTTAAGCTGGAGAACCACAGGTTCAAGGCCACCCTCAGCAATTTAGCAAGGCCCTTTCTCAAAATAAAAAAATAAAAGGGCTGGAGATGTGGCTCAGTGGTAGAATGTCCATGGGTTCAATCCTCAGTAGAGGAGGAGGGTGGGGGAAGAAGAAGAAAAAAGAAGGAAGGAAATGGTAAAACTAAGTAGTGTAGTGTTTTAGCAAAGTGTTACTAATATGTTTGAACCTAAAATTAGTCCCATGACTAGGTGTCATCTTCATCATTTTATAGCTGAAGAGACAGATAATTTTCCTAAAAAGCATGATCAATAAATGGCCAAATAGTGATTAGAGCCTAGGCCCTGCCTACTTCCCAGAGTTGTACAAATTAAATAAGTTGCCACTAATAATGTAATAAGATTACATTATTTTATCCCTTCAAAATTTACAAAGTACTTTCATGTATTTGCTGTAAGGAAAAAAGGAATAAAGGAAATAAAGAGATGAGAGGTGGCTCAACAGTAATACAGGTTTGTTTGGGATAAACCCGCAGAGGGTGGCCCAGTGGAGGCTGCCACCCCTCTTCTACTTACAGCCTGGGGTGGATATAGGGGAAGGAGTGAAGGGATTAGGCTGTTGTTAGGGGTTGGCCAGGGAAGGGTAGGGAAGGGTCCTTATGGTGGACACCTCCATTCTTTGAGGTGGTCACTGCTCCTTGTCAGACCAGGTGTTTTCAGGATTTCAGCTAACAATTTTCTTTTGTATGATGACAGAGTGTTTGTGGTTTCTTTTCCTGATGATGGAGTATGTCTGGAGTTTAAGGTCATGCCACAGTGACTGTGAGGTGACTCTTGTTCTAAGATGGAGTATGTTTCAAAATGGTGTTGCCTATGTCAAGTTCTACCTAACAGTTACCTTATTTATTCTTCATAGAAATTTCATTTGAAAGATAAAAAATCAATCACAGAAAAATTAAGTGTGTTTAAGACAGAGCCTGAGCTTTCTGACCCAAAGTACAGATTTGTTTAATATAACACATATATTGTCCCAGCATACCACAGTATATAGAAGCACTTTGAAATAATGCATTCAAATAGAGCAGATAATAATTTATCATCCTCAATCATTCTGCAGCTCCTGTTAATGTAAATATGAAGATTGGTCCCAGGGACTGAGGAGGAGGATCACAAGACCAGCCTCCACAGCTTAGCAAGAGCCTGTCCCAAAACAAAAAAATAAAATCAGTAGAATAAAAGAAAGGAACTAGGGGGTGAGAGAAGGGGAGGAAGGAGGAAAGTGCAGGGAAGAGATAGTGGCCAAATTATATTTTATATCGTATGCATGTATGAATATATAACAACAAATCCCACCATTGTGCATAACTATAATGCACCAGTAAAAAATGTGGAATAAGGTGCTGGAGATATAGCTCAGTTGGTAGAGTGCTTTCCTTGCCTACACAAAGCTCTGAGTTTGAGCCCCAGTACCAAAAAAAAAAAAAAAAAAAAAAAAGTAAAATAAAATAAAAGGGCTAAGGATGCAGCTCAGTGGCATAGGGCCCCTGGGTTCTCTCCCCAGTATCACAAAAACAAACAAACAAACAAAAAACACATAGATACTGAGTTGGTAAATTCACATATCTCTTCATTGAAGCATACTTCACTATTTTGGAGACTTTAATCTGGTTCCTTTTTTCAAAAAATAATATCTATTTATATACTTTGGTTAATAATTTCTTTTTCCTCATACTGTGAGACAGTATTTAAAGGCATATGTAGGCTGGTCAGCTAGCAAGTATTTATTGACCTTTTAAAAGTAAAATCAGCTTAAATTGAAATGCAAGTTGCCTTTCTCTTTTCCACTTGTCATGGAAAAAAATATGTAATTCTTCAAATTGGAATGGATATGAATAAGCATCTTGATTATTTGAAAGAAAAGGGGTTTTATTTGTTTTCTGTTTTTAGGAATATGACAGAACTGATGGCTTTTCACATGGTCCCTTTGGCTTAAAGCCTAGATCAGGTAAATATATATTCTTTAAATCAAATTAATGGGTTATGTTTCAAGTTGTAATATCCCAGCTTTGTAATATCCATATAATATCCATTTGTAATATCCATAGTTTTAATTATACCATAGATTCTTTCCCCTCTCCTAAAAGTGATTTTCTCTTAAACTTGTCTTTCCAATTCCCATTCTCATTTCTTTCTTCCTCTTTACCTTCAAGCTCCTGAAACCTCAGCTCTTTGGCTTAGATATACTGCAGTCTTATTTCTACTATGCTGTGACTGCTGTTAGAATGACCCCCTCTGCCAGCAGACCAAACACTGTTTGAAATTATAACACTCCATTATATTATAATTTTTTAAAAAGGGATCTTTTCACATTTGGCAAACCCAAAAGAAAATGGATCCATGTTATTTGGCAAGGTATTGAATTATAGTTTTTATTCCTGAATAACTATATTGACCTTCAAAAATAATTTCCTTTTTTTCTTTAAAGATAAAGGTTGACATATGTTCAGTTCTCATATTTAACCTGGATCATAAGTTTCTAATAACATGTTTAAGTAAGAACATGTGTCGGTGATAGAAATCATTATACTTTTGTTCTCTGTTGCTTTCAGTTATATATGTGGTATTCAAAGATACACTTGGAAAATATTTTGAATGTATTAATAAGTCATAGTGATTTATGTAATTTTGTACTGATTCTTTTTGTCATGCTTCTTTCTCCATCAGTGGTTTTTCCTTTAATTAGCTTTGAAATAAGTTGGTAAATTTCTGTTTTTATAAAGCTTTTAGCCGCTCATCTCGCCAGGAATATGGGGCTGCAGATCCAGGATTTACAATGAGAAGAAAGATGGAACACTTAAGGGAAGAACGAGAGCAAATAAGACAACTTCGCAATGTAAGTCAGATTGACCTTTAAGCCTTGCTTTAGGGCTGGGATGTAGCTCAGTGGCAAAGCGTCTGCCTTGCACTTGCAAAGCCCTGGGTTTGACCCCCAGTTCCAAAAAAGACAAAAAAAAAAAAAAGACTTGCTTTATAGAAATGGGTTTAACTTAGAAAAATTAGTGAGGTATATGGGTTTATTTTCAATGTTCTTGAAAATTTTTTGATTAAATAACAATTAGTAATATAAATATTTAATATATGCTTAGGTAAAATATCTGATTTGTATCCATTTCTTTATAGAATCTTGAATCCAGGTTAAAAGTTATTTTGCCTGATGACATTGGAGCTGCACTGATGGATGGGGTTGTTCTTTGCCATTTAGCCAATCATATAAGGCCACGCTCTGTAGCTAGTATTCATGTACCATCACCAGCAGTGGTAAGTTTTGTCTATAGTTCTCCAAAGGAATGTTAGAAATACTGAGGTGCCACAAGAAATCAAACACCAGTGCTTAAAAGTGGGTGGACAAGGCTTTTACTCCTACCAGAAGGGCATGCTACCAGAACCTGTCTAGTATACACACCTGGGCAGGCAGTTTTTATCCTTAATGCAGTGCTGCCTTTTGCTTTTGATTGGAGGAGCTGGGGCTTCTAATCTACATGATTAGCTAATTTTAAAATTGGGATGGGAAAAGGGAAGGGCTAAAATTAATATGGCTACAATTGGATCCAATTAAGGCTAAATACTATATTCTAAAAATGGACCACTGGGCTTTCTATTTATCACAGGAAAACATAGCTTCCTATAACGGTCTTTAAATAATAGACTATACCTCAATAAATTAAAATTTTAGTTTTGGTTAAGTTCTGTATAAAAATGCTTGAAAATAAACCTTTCTTCCCCCAACCTTACTTTACAGCCCAAGCTGAGCATGGCAAAATGTCGAAGAAATGTAGAAAATTTTCTTGATGCTTGTAAAAAGTTGGGTGTCTCACAGGTAATTATTTATCCAACAGAATGATTATTTAAATATTAATTTGTTGCATTCAAATTAGAGTAGTCAAAATAGCATTTAATAATGTTTTCAAAATATGAACAATGAGGGCTGGGGATGTGGCTCAAGCGGTAGCGCGCTCGCCTGGCACGCGTGCGACCCGGGTTCGATCCTCAGCACCACATACCAACAAAGATGTTGTGTCCACGGAGAACTAAAA